ACTCACTCCTCCCCATCTTCTTTCACGCAGCCCTGCCTACAAAGTCTGGTTCTTCCTCCTGCTGCAGTCCAGTCTCCAGGTCCGCATCTTGAAGACAGAGAAACAAAAGTCACTGGATTGACAACAGCAATTGGCCTTACTAATCCAAGATATTATATCACACAACATGCAAGTTTATGACAGTTAGAATAAATGTTGCCTGTAAAGGTCCAAGTCACTGCAAAAAGTGTGACGTGCTGCATCTCTGATGACAATGTGCAATGTGGGACCAAGGAGGTTATACTGGAGACACTATAACCTCTTTCGTTGGACTAATTGTTTGAAGATATGAAGAAAAGGAGTCTAGAAAAGTGTGATATACTGTGAAATTAGAAGCAGGACAAGCTTTAGACCCCATTGACGTTCATTTTTTCTTTTCGATTAAAAGGGCTATCCGAATAGAATATTGTCTATCTGAATAATTTTTTTGAGTGTGGACGCTCCAAATCACTTAGATTTTACTCGAATCGCTTCCAAAATAATCCACCTCGAGGAGGTGGATTGAGACAGTTGCGGCGGATTCGAATCAGACGAAACTGCGAGTGTGAATGCGAAGTGAATTGACGTCCGAGTTGGATTCAGCGGCGTGACGTCATTGCGAGCGGTCCAATCAGAGCGTAGAACGCGTGCTGCTACTTACATATTCATGAGAAAATGATGCCTGCTTTTGCAGTGTTTCGAGTTCCTTTTTCTGCGGATTTTCTGACTTTCGACGCTGATTTTTGGCACGCTATGATAATGCTACCGTTGATACTCTACTGGAGACAACAGATGAGTGATCATTTTGCTATCAACGAGAACTTTTGTGAATGATCATTTTACTATCAACGAGAACTTTTGTGGAATGAAACAGCAATGAAAGCTACGATGAAGTTATTTGTTGGCGTGATCATACCTGGTAATTTGTAGTGGGAATGTTTCCAGTACGTGAGAAGTGGGAAGGTGGCAGCTTGGTAAAATTTTCTTGCGAAATATGACTTTACGAAGTGAGGCTGATGATACATATAAATCCAATGTTTGCTGAAAATATGACGTAGCGATATGACAATTCTTTCGTGGGTGAGCGCAATTCGGATCGGCGAAAAGCAGTGCGAATGCTCTTGTGGATTCAGTGTCAATTCGGATAGACAATTTTCTATTCGGATAGGCCTTTTGATTGAATAGAAAAAATGAATGTGAATGGATGAGTGGATTATAGAATAGAAAATAATTTATCAGTCTGGGTGCCATCCAATTTGCAAATGGAGCCGTTACATATCAGCTGTCACCCAGACTGAGAAATGTAGGCATGTGTGTGTTGCCGAACAAATAAACTATACTCACAATTGTGCCCACTGTCTTCTCTCACTGCTTTGCTGTCTTCATTTCCTTCTGCATCTTCAAGTCAACTGGTTTGCTGAGCTGTTCATCGCAGGATTCTCCCATACCAGACAGCCGACCCTCAGGACACACCTAACAATATGAAAGGATAATTAGTGTGATGGAAAAACATCCCCAGGCAACACTGAATGACCATAACTAATGACAATGTCATGCATTTCAACTATCCCATTGATTGAATAGATTTTGAAAGAATAAGGCTTAGCCTATTAGAACATTGCTTTTCAAGGTGTTACAATTGTAGCATGTTACACCTTAGAGTTCTTAACATGTATATGAGGCAAGGAAAGGAAAAAGTTGTTCAAGTTGTAAAGCAATTTGCTTGAATAGATGTACAAAAGTTAGGCTTTTGAAAGTGTTATTAATACATGTTATGCCACAGTTCTTAAGACATCCAAGAGGAAAGGAAAAATTCATAAGTTGTAAAGTATTGTCTCACCTGAGCTCAGAGTTCATTGTGTCTTCAAGTCAACTGGTTTGCTGAGCCGTCCGTCTGGTGTGCACATGCAGAAGTCAACCCTCATCACAGGTTTTTCATAGTCAGGACAGGAACGTCAGGACACACCTAACTAATATAATGAATAATTAGTGTCATGCCTCCCAAAAAATATCCAGGCAACATGAAGTGACCATGATAAAATCCTGCAATTAAACTATCCATTTGCTTAGACATTTACACAGTGTTGAAACTAGTATGTCTTGCCTCTCAGTTCTTAAAGTTATCTTGATTTGATTATACGGATGACATCCGAAAAAAAGTTTTCAACGGTAAATTGTACAAAATGAGTGAGTATATGTTGTATGTTTCTAAAAAAAGTATTGGAAAACATCATCAGGTCTGGTCCAATATGTCTTGTCAGGTTCAGAAATTAAAGTAGTCCCCACTACTATACTGCATCAGTCAGCAGCCACCTATCTATACAAACATGAGAAGTTACACACTTGTCTTAAACAACACCAGAAAGCTGTAGATACAATGCAGAATTCAGATTTTATTCACCTGATATTCCTCTTGGGTCTTTAAATCGTCTGGTCCTATCTGTCTTGTCAGATTAAGGCAGGTAAGTCTTCACTACAGCATCAGTCAGCAGCCACCTAACTGTACAAACATTAGATGTTAAACACTTGTCTCAAATAACATGGAGTAAATAGTAGGTACGCAGAATTCAGATTTCTCTCACCTGCTATTAATCTAGGGTCTTCAAATCATCTGGTCTGGTCCAGTCTGTCTCGTCAGGTTAAGGCAGGTAAGTCTTCACTACAGCATCAGTCAGCAGCCACCTAACTGTACAAACATTAGATGTTAAACACTTGTCTCAAATAACATGGAGTAAATAGTAGGTACGCAGAATTCAGATTTCTCTCACCTGCTATTAATCTAGGGTCTTCAAATCATCTGGTCTGGTCCAGTCTGTCTCGTCAGGTTAAGGCAGGTAAGTCTTCACTACTGCATCAGTCAGCAGCCACCTAACTGTACAAACATTAGATGTTACTCACTTGTCTCAAATAACGCCAAATAGCTATAGGTAAAATACAGAATTCAGATTTTTCTCACCTGATATTCATCTTGGGTCATCAAATCTGGTCCAATCAAATCTGGTCCAATCAGGGTCTGGTCCAATCCTTGTCAGACAGTAGTCTTCATTACAGCATCAGTCAGCAGCCACCTAACTATAACGTTACAGACATTAGAAGTTACATACTTGTCTCAAATAACACCAAATAGTTGTAGGTAAAATTCAGATTTTTCTCACCTGGCTTTGAGAAAATGACAATGCTGAGACTGAATTCGACAGGTTTTGACTATTTGTCTCAAAAATGACAGAAATCGGACCACTCATCTGTTTATACCTTTTTATATACATAAATTACAAGCATGCATTTGACAGACAATATAACGCTATATATCTACTCATTTTGTTCTTCTATCTCAACGCTAGCAATGCAGATACACGCACCTTAAATTTCCTCATTTTAAAATAACCTAATACCTCGAAAAACTGTTATAGCAAAAACAACTGGATAGCAAAAACAATAAAATAAACCCGTTCAACTGAAACGTTATGTGGAATACATATAAAATCGGCACAGAATGTTTTGAAAACAGCAATTGTGAACTTCCAGCGAAGTCATCCGTGAAAATTATAACTTGGTCATTAAAATTACTGAATTAGTCTGCTTCCAAATTATTGCTAATGATAATGAAGAACGAAAGTATGGTCAACTAGACTGAAGTTTCCAAACATTTTTGTATCGCATTCATTTCGGTGCCTTCAAGCTTCGAGACCCCGTCTTGTTTACGCGAGTTTTGGCGGGAACATATAATTATGTACAATGGCACATTCCAACAGGTGTTTTGAGCTAGCCACGTGGAGATAAAGAAAGGAAAGGATTTGGTCAATGCTTAATTTCTCTCAACATATATAATTTCTAAACGCTGAACAAGTGACGAAAAAGACAGGCACATACATATAATACACTACAAGCGGACCGCACATTGAAAATGATGTTGAAAACGCGGCCAATTGATATACTTTTCAAAGCCTGTCTAAAATTAGAAACGGTCGCTCTCTTGACATGCTCGTACTATACTTGCTAGGGAATAATGTCAGCCAAACAATATGCTGGTTTACCTGCAACAATAAGCGAAGTCGTCTCCATGCCACGCTACTCTTCCCAACTGTCTCGCCATCTTGTTGTCTTCTCCAAAATTTGCCACGTCAGGAAATCCGCATTTTCTCTTCAAAACAGCACCAGGACGGCGCAAATCCACAGCGAAGACTCCCAAACATTCTGCTGCACACCTAGTAAAACATTCCACCGACGAAAACTGTAAAAAGTACCTAGAAAATTGTTTTAAAAAATCAGCCCAGAGTGTTCCCGTCGTACAAAAGCGCCATTTTGAATGGACTGTACCAAACTTGCTTTTACACAGGTGTGCAAAACGGCCGTGTATAATTAACGTCAAGCTGGTAATCTAATTATGGCGACCAATGACGGCTCGTATCGGTGCGAGGCACTTATATATGGCGAAGAAGAAGGATTAGATTACGAAGACTACTAATTTCAATCTCAGGTTCAAAAATTGTTGAAAATCAGGGTACTTGAGTATTTCTGATATCGACAAATGCATATTGAATGTTAGGTGGTGACCACACTCTTGTCCAATTTTCCTACTACTGTAAATTCATTTATTTTCGCGGGGACTTCATAACCTGGTAGAATGAACACTTTCCACACACAGGCAAACCTGTCCTTGGTGCTGAACACCTTCCACACACAGGCAAACCTGTCCTTGGTGTTGAATACCTTACACACACAGGCAAGCCTGCCCTTGGTGCTGAACACCTTCCACAGATAATCCACATAAGCCTTCTCGAGTTATGGTATGGAGTTCACACACACACACACACACACACACACACACACACACACACACACACACACACACACACACACACACACACACACACACACACACAACACACACACACACACACACACACACACACACGCTCACACACACACACACACACATAACCACGAAAAAATGACATCTAAGAAGACTCAAGAGGCAATTCTTTGCCTTTACGAACACTTTATTTGTATATTTTCCAACTCCCTCCTATATCTGTTTATGAATCACTACAGCAGTATTTTAATGGAGATAATACACACAGAAATCGTACTATTCTCGCCGATATATTCTAGTTTATTTATTTCTCTTAGCTGTTACCTAACTTCAAGTCTTTGAAAAATATTAGAAAGAATACCTTTAAATATTGCCCCCTTCAAATTCAAAACGCAAATCACGACACAATACACTTAACCCTCACAAACTTGAATATTTACAATATACCCAGGTAAGAAAGTGACATCTGTACACGTCATAGTTTATCAACCTTATCAACTTCTTTCGTCAAAACTTTCTTCTTGGTTAATAGTAGTACGTATACTAGTATTCTAGATCCTAACTACACTTCAACCACGGGTGACTATATGGCATACATCATCATATTTTAACTGTACAACAATAAAATGCAGCCTGTAAAATCGAGGTTTGTTTTCTTCTTCTAATCATAGTATTTATCCATCATTCATTGGAACAGGTTATGTCTGGCCGTGTGAGAATGGTATCTATACATCTGAAAAATAGCCTTTTTCCGTTCATTGTTTTTGTCTACAAAACTTCTTAAAATTCTTAGAGGGAAGTAATTTCGTGAAAATGTTCTATCTAAACTTTTCCCCCATAAAGTGCTATAGCTACCTGCTGTTGATATGAAAGACCGCATGAAACCTGTTAGCTGCTTGATTCAAATTCTACGCAAGGAGGCGCTCGCAAGTAACCAAATTGTAGTTTGATGTACAATATCTTGCTTTTCCTGACATGATCTTTGAATCTGGTAGTTCTACCAAAGCGAGGACACAAACTTTTAAAATAAACACCAATATAAAAAAATAATCATGTTACTCAGGAAAATATCGGCAAAAGAAGAAAACTAAACAAGTTGCGAATGACTTGGACCGTGCATGTTTATACTAATACCAATGCATGGGATGAAATATATAAACAGCAAAACAGTTGCCGTTTTATAGTAGACAAGCACGAAACAATCTAACAATCCCTTCAATCCGGACCTTGTCTCTTGCTCCATGTCTGCACATTTTTGATGAGATGACTCCAAATCAGATACCTTTGGAGAGAAGAGAAAGAAATAAAAATGTCATAAACAATGGCCTTTTAGAAACTTGCAACATGCATGTAAGAACATAAGAGAGGTGAACAGAGCTGATACATTCAGGAGAGGGTTATTCAGCCCACAAAGGTAGGAACTCAACATGCTCGCCGTGAGGAAAACAATCTGTGGAAGGAAAAAAAGCTGCAAATCATATAAATAAGTGCATGCAAACTTTGTTAGTGCCCCTCCGTGTCAGTAAAGCATCTGCCGAAAGCAATTTATTGGTAGGCTGTACGATTTGGAATGTTACCATTGATGCTGTTCAATGGCCAGCTCTGTGCATCTGTGAAATTTAAAATCAGATGCAGACATTATGTTACCATACCCGTCAGATGTATGTATTGATTTTCATTCATCGATATGGCATATTTCAATTATATCTGTCTAGCATTAGTATCACATACACATGACCACAATACACAACAGTAGTTAGTGACATATGTCCATCATTTCCAACTGAGTAGTTTTATTACTTGTAACGTATTGGTTCATTTTCTGCGTTGTATATTTGTGTGGAGACTATGACGTTCGCAACTCTCGCCCACCCACGCGAGACTCTCTTCACGTTACAAGGATTGCTGGGATAGCTAACTAAGAATTGTGGTCTTAGAGCTGTGTTATCCACTGGACTGGCGGTGTGCCATCACCTGTGAGACAGAAGGTACGGAAAGTTGCTGGATCATTTGTAGACACTTTGCCTTATTTCTCACCGACGTTCTGTGGTGTGCTGGCATTTATTGGTTGGTAGGCGAAATTTAGAGGATGGAAGGGAAGCTTCATATTAAATGTAAGGTGAGGATGGGGTCTTAAAAAAAGAAAAATTCGATGATTTGTTGGAAATGATGAACAGATGTCAACTGCTTCAAAATGAATGCAAACATCACTAGGATTGTCTCGTGATTGTAACTTTAATAGTGATCCAGTACTTTCAATGTTCATAATTGCCTGACTGACGTGAATGTTCACATTAACTTCAGACTACTTTTGTCTGTAATTAAGTACTACTAGTGATCATGATGTCGTTGCTTTCCGACGTTGCTATTGCTTCATACTGACCCTCGGTGTCCAGTTTCTTGATGTCCGTGAGCTCGGCGTCGTGGATGGGCTCGTCCTCGGCGGAGGCGCAGGTCAGACACCGCCGCAGCCGGCCAGTGGACGCGGTGGGGTCCAGCAGGAACTCGTACAGCCATGCGGCCAGGACGGCTCCAGCGATGGGGCCAACCCAGTACACCTACAGACAGTAACATCTACGGTTACATGTACTAGTATATATTTTCTTTCACTATTCTAACCTCAATACAGCTATGTAACACTTTTGTGGTGAGAGATATGATAGCTATCGTCGTACCCAGCGTATCTAGAATTTATTGACTTCTTTCCAGGGACACGTCTATGGCTGTATCAAACTGTTTATCATCATACGAGAAGGTTGAGACTATTGAATGAAACCTGAAACGTAGAGGACATACCGCCCGATCCATATATACAACACAAACGTTATTACAGTTGGTCTGTATGTCACCGAAGCGGACAGGGAATGTTACGGGTCAGGACATTCCTGTAGCCCGCCGGTTGGATCTGCCTGTTCCCCTGGAGAGGATGACCTCCCCGTGTAGGTGACCCGGACTGACCCCTAGTGGGAGCCAGGCCCGCATTTGTCGTGAATGATTTGGATAAATATGTTTTACACAAGACCTGACGTAAGCTTTATGCAGGACTTTACCGTGTTATTTAATTTAACTTCAAAATCTACTCGATGATTTTCATTCAGCTAGTGATTTATGGTGTGCCCGAAAATAATGACACGTTTATGACTGTTCTTTTGTATCGTAATAACTTTATTATCCATGACTGAACAGATGTCTTTTTGTGTTTAAGATAAATACATATGGTAAAATGTTGAAATTTATTCCAACTCAAAGATTACACAGAGATCAAATTTTGAACCACCACTGTCGCCTTCATCAGGATAATGAAAAGAAATACATTCTTAAGACGACAAGGAAAATTTGTCAGCATCTTCTCATAACTTATTCACTCTACTGTTCACTAGTAGGACCTTAAGTCACCTTAACTCACCTGAGTGCCCTGTACCCTGAGCTGTGTAAATTTACTTTGACAGATAATGAGCTCCATGTTTGTAGTATGAGCTGTACGTACCCAGTGGTTATCCCAGGCGTTCATGACGACCACAGGACCGAAGGAGCGGGCAGGGTTCATGCTGGCCCCGGTGTACTTGATCTGAAACATGCATGTCAGAGATAGAGTTAATCATTAGTTAATCCCACTAGGAGATGGCAGATTTATGAACATACTATAGTCTCGCCCAAAAGCTTCTTTCACCAACTTTGCTGTGCCGACTTGGGGCACTTGCTAAAGGAGAGGTGAAACTTTTCCAAACAGATGTACGTAAGTGACACCAGATTGCTTGGATTTTTCAATGCCAAGGACGCGGAATGGACTGAGTAGCAAAACCAGCTGTATTGTGGTCCTGACAGATACATGTCACTTACGGTGCCAAAGGCAATAAATTGAACCTTCAAGCCTTAAACGCGCCCAGTACAGTATTTCTAGATCCACAAAAACAGGATGTTTCTCAGACAGAGCCAAGCTCCATGGCTTTAAGCTATTCTTTGCTATGGCCTCATCTAGTGCGGTCTGTATAAACGCCTTATCGTTGTCTTTGATTGAAGTTCGGGAGCTGTGTACCTTTCATCGCCTGAACTAGGAGAAATTCCAGTCAAAATTACCCAGCTCTTTTAATTAAATTTCATATTTAAATACGTGATCCCATGGCCACATTCTTGAAAGAACTTCAAGGTGGAAACTCTCGACGTACCTGCTTCAAATTTATGTTCACGTATACCACAATCTAGGGATGTATTGCCGTTATAACGCGACATAATTTACGCTGAAGGTTTCATGGCTTTTGTAATCTAAAAACGCTTCACCACAACTCTCTTGACAGAAGATGGAAACACTCGATGTACCTTCTTCAAATTCTTGTCCATGTATACCACGGTCTAGTGATGTATTGCCGTTACAATTTATATGCGACGGCCTGGTTGAAAAACATTACGCTGAAGGTTTTATGGCTTTTGTAATTTAAAAACGCTTCACCACAACACTCCGTCCAATTTATTATACAGTTTGCGCACCCAATATTCAGAACCAGACGCCGCTTCAATCTTTACTGCGTATTATCATATAGCCGGGTGGCGTAGACCAATCAGAGGCCTCCGTTACCCGTGCTTTATTCTCCGATAAACCATGGCTCAGCCGTGCGTTATTCTCCATAAACCATGGGTGAAACCATAATGATATAGGGGTACACAGCTCTTTCTGTTAATATTCATAGCAGTTTCCTGGTCAGACAAAATTATGTTTTTTTTAAGCTTCATATAAACTAAAATGTGTGTGAGTATGAAATGTATATGTAAATAGATAGAATTTGAACGGGAGAGCAAAAACCATACTTATTTTGACACCCCTACAAAAAGTGGTATCGCCCACATCACCTGACTGAATCAGACCAGGGATCAGACGATTTATTTTTTTTGGTCCGCCATCTTGCCTTCTTGTGTCATGGAGAGTTTGCCTAATTTCTACATGGAAGAGATAACAGACGCGGATTTAGATGAGATATTTGGACCCATGGAGGTCGAGGAACAGACGCTGGAAGCTACACCGGAGACAGAGGTCAGCAGGGTGCGTTTCGCGTGTCTGAACGAACAACAACTTGGCGAGATAGAGGAGAGACGGCTTCGCACCAACCTCAGTCCACGTTGCACTCGCAGGTTGGTCCAGACCCCACGTGCCGCAGCAGGTGAAATGGCTTCGTACAATATGCAGTCTACATGTATGTCTCAGTTGTCGCATGTTTTTAGCGGCCATGTGAACTTTAACGGACCATGTTACTTCCACTTCAAGTAGATGGTTAAATGGTTAAATGCAGTCTACATGTATGTCCTAGTTGTCGCATGTTTTAGCGGCCATGTGAAGTTTAACGGACCATGTTACTTCCACTTTAATTAACAAAACAGTATGATTGTTTGTTGCCATGCTGTTCAGAGAATCAGACAGTTACTATCAACTTCAGTGCAAGTACTTACGCAACATGCTTTGTTACCATGCTGGCTGCATTAGATGGTTGAATGGTTTTACGATATGCAGTCTACATGTATGTCTCAGTTGTCGCATGTTTTTAGCGGTTATGTGAACTTTAACGTACCATGTTACTTCCACTTTAACTTAAAGTTTAAGAAACAAAACAGCATGATTGTTTGTTGCCATGCTGTTCAGAGAATCTTGTAAAATGATCTGTTGCCAGTTGCAATGCTGCAAAAGAAACAATTCTAAAGTGTAAAGTTGTAAACTATATTTATTGTAAAATGATCTCCATATTTATTTTAAAGTACAAACCATGATTATAATATTTTGGAATGTATTGTTATGTAAATATTAAAGGTTTAATGTTTTGAACAGGAATTGTGTTGATTCATTGTGTCAGTTTGGATAGGCTATATGATAATAACGTTAATGCACCGCCTTTTCCTCGGTGTATATGGTGTCATAAATGCATGGTCAGCTGCTATAACCACCTCATAAACCACCTCGTTCGCTTCGCTCACTCGGTGGTTTATTCGGTGGTTATAGCAGCTGACCATGCATTTATGACACCATATACACCTCGGGGCGGTGCATTAACCCTTTATTATATAATCCATCCTTCGAGGTTGCCCCGGTGATGTGGTATACATAATGTATGCGCCAGGGCTCAGACTGTAGATTCGCCATGCAAGGGGGGAACACCGCTCTACAAATATTTTGTTGTAGGTATTGCGGTTTTCATTGTTGTGACATACACACGGTATGTGTCCTAGAGTAACGTTAGTATTTGGTGATGCAAGGCTGGACATGTCGCCTCACAATGTCTTTTGGCCCAAGGCGCTGGTGTTTTCACACTTTCTGAAAGACTTGGTTTACTGTAAATATTTGGGCTCACCGGATTTCAAAATGAAAAGCATTTAAAGAAAAACACCTGGATCAAACTACGTGACAAACCTGGAAAAAGGAATTCAGGAAATAGCGACAGGAATGGTATGAGTACTAGTGCGTAGTGAGTATACGGGTATGATGTACAGAGGAATTAACACCGGTGAATTTAGTTTGGAGACAGGATGTTCGATCCCAATAGACTGTGGAGAACGCTGCCCCGTCTAGTTCTGGTTCGGTCTGGTTTTTCGGCACTGTACTTGACACTTGACACATCTGGATTTGCTCTAAATGAAAGTTGGCTATTGTGCAGAGTAATGACGTTTAGATCCGTCGTTTACATGATTTGTTGGGAACGTTACTACTGGTCTAGATAAGGAAGGGTGCGCCAAGTGAGAGGCATGGCACTTATCAGTGACACTTAGACTTGTCGGCACAAACTTTCTCAGAAAGCCGGCTGAAGTATATACGCTTCAGTTTCCCAGAGGTACATGATTGTACAATATTGACGCACAATCAAACGTACAGTCCTGAGCGCCGGGAACTGTTAACACACAACAAATATGATTATAGCAACAAGCTAAAAAAAGGGGGAATCCCTGATAAAGGTTGAACCACAAGGGCTCAAACAAACAAACAAACAAATATAGCTCAAGCACTAACGACTTCTTTTGGCCCTCCTGACACAGATGCCCCAGATACACCATAAATCACTTCTCATAAAATGTCAGACAGCGTCCATCATTAGCAAATATTTAAAAAAATAGAACAAGAATACATCTATCAAATCTTTTTTCGGCTTGATGGAAGAAACGACCTATAGCGTAAATCTGTCTTAAGTCATAAAATGAATTGGAGAAGCGATTACAAAATACGTTTCGACGGCCGTTTCAGTCACATAAGAATAAACAGTGTGTCATCTGATTCCAAAAGCTATGTCAGGTATGGAAACGATGCGGTGTTGCATCTTATGTTCCCAGATTAATCCAATGGTTTTTACCCTATAGCTAGTTCAAAGATGATGAAGAAAACTCATGTCCTTCCAGACTGTCATTTCGTTACATCAGCTCTACCCGAGTGATTCGAACTAATTGGCCAAAGACAATTTTAATGCGTAGTTGAAATAATTTGTTTTGATATGAAAGAACCCTGCAAAGAAACTCTCCTGAACCAAACTTTACAAAAGGCTCCAT